ACCTGGGCGTCCTGGGGAACTCAGATGTTTCCCACATTCAGACCGACTTTCCCTGGAGGCATTCAGCGCCTGCTACTACACAGCAGTGAGGCTGACTACTCCCAGGCCGTGTCCCAAATTGGAGTTCAGTGGGGCCAGATCCCTGGGGACAAGGAAGAGCTTAGGGTGGTGCCTGCCTGAGGGCGGCACTGGCCTCAGAGGGCCTGCCGGGGCCTAAGGCTATTGAGAGCCATCTGGTTACAACAACCCATCTGGTTCTGCAGACCTGAGCTGGTCCTGCAGGGTCCTGGCTGAAGCTGGGGGAGGTCAGCAGTGGCTGCCAAGAGGGTGGCTGCAGCCCAGCTCCACCCACAGGCGGGGCCCCCCTCAGCCTGGGGACTTCAGGCCTGTCCTGTGCCTCCTGGACTTGCTCCACTCTGCAGAGGGCACCTCCTCAACCCTTCCTTGGTTTCCACTCTCTGAGCGTTCTTCATTCGGCCATAGCCAGTGGTAGGTGGACCTGGCACCGGGCTCTGTTCTCTCCACCCATCCCTGTGGCCACCCCATACCATAGGCATTGTTGGGTCTACTATGGCGCCCAGATGAAAAATGAGGCACGGGATTAGCTTGCGCAAAGTTGCGGGTGGTCTGGCTCCAGAGGCTGCTCTGGCCTACCTGCCTGCTAGAGACTGTGTCCCTGATGGCTGTCAGACGGGAGAGCCTGCCCCCCCAGCCCCTGTGCGCTCTGGGATGGGCAGAAACCTCGCAGCTTGACAAGCAGCATGGGACATCGGTGAGGAGACAGGCGGTGCTCAGAACAAGCCGATGGGGCCTTCCATACTCAAGGGTGAGGGCCGGCTCGTCTCTGCAGCGCAGGGTGGATGGGCCAGCAACCTTCTCTTCTGGAATCTGACTGGGTTCAGGGACGTGTGCAGCCCTAGGAGCTGAGCCCGGACTCTCTCTGGGGCTGTCAGTGAGTGGGGTCCTGGCTGAGCCAAGCTGTGACACATCCTGCTCTCTTGCAGGGTCCTGGTCTCTGTTTTCAGCATGCAAAGGGGCCCCTAGAAGCTTCCCAGTCCCCAGAGGGACAAAGGCTGGGGTCTGGCAGCTCACCAGCACAGCTCTAGTCTTTAGCAGCAGCCCAGGCCCGGCACTTCTACAGCAGCCATCCCCTGAGCTGTCAGACAGCCTGACACCTCATCCCCCCATACAGAAAAGAGCTCTGTTGTGGGGGTCCGGGAGCCAGATGGGAGGAGAAGCCCCTGAGGAGGTGGAAGAAAGGGAGGCAGGGAAGGGGGAGGCTCGCAGAGAGTTGGAATGGTTTGATTTGGGGACAAAACCAGGGGTGGAGAAAGAGGGGGACAAAGCAGGCATGATGGCGGAGGGGGTGCAAGGATCCGGCTGGGCCTAGGTGGGGCTGCTGCCGACAGTGCCCCACAACAGGTGGTGGAGACAGTACGTGGGGGCCCACTCACAGGCCACGTGCCCACCCATGCAGGCCAAGGTGCTGTGTGGCCCAGTCCTGCCTCCTGATCCCCGCCATGTCACTTCCGAGGCACCCCAGTCACAAAACATGGATCAGAGGGTCCACTTCCCACCACACCCAGGGCTGTGTCCTGGGAAGGGCCAAACCTGTCACGCCCTGGTGTTTCCCTCTGCGCCCCCGCCAGACTCCTGCACTGGCACCCTGCCTCCCGCTGGCGCTGGCCCGGCAGCCTGTTCCCTGAGCCACAGGCAGCGGCTTTGGTTCTCGCCTCTGGAGGCGACGCAAGTCCCTGGCAGGGGTGCGGCTTCCTCCTGCACAGGGCCGCTGTGACACCCACCTGTGTACTCAGGAAAGCAGATGGTCAAAGGTGACTTCTTGATCTTCTCGCCAAAGAGATCTTTCTTGTTGAGGAAGAGAATGATGGAGGTATCGATGAAGAACTTGTTGTTACAGATGGAGTCGAAGAGCATGAGGGACTCGTGCATGCGGTTCTGTGGCCGCAGGTGGGAGGGGAGAGAGCGAGACAGACAGCCGGAGGGAGACACGGAGACAGGGAGAGAGAAGAGAGAGTTAGGTTTGAGAGACAGGACCGGGGACCTGGGCTACTCGGTAGCGCAGGAGGGGCTCCTCCGAAGGCTGAGGGAAGAACGGTTATCTGTAATGCAGCACGGCGGTTCTCGTTTCCGGCTTTCAGTCTACAGCCCTCATCTTGGGGCCAATGGCAGGGACTGGACTGGACACCAACCACTGCGTCTTAGGTGAGGCTGAGGATGGGGTGATGTGGGCTCTCCCCACTGCAAAGTCCCCAGCCACGGGAGGGTCTCTGCCTCTGTGTGTGTGTGTGTGTGTGTGTGTGTGTGTGTGTGTGTGTGTGTGTGTGTGTGTGTGTTGAGCAGGGGGCTGCTGGGGCAGTTGGGCTTTGGCCCTTCCTGTCCAGGCCTTTCCTCTTGGGCCCAATCTGTGGGTGGGGGTGTCTCCTGGGAGCAGTGAGGGACCCTAGGCCCCTCCTGTAATCTGAAGGAATCATGCCAGGCTCCTGATGGCATCCTTGGGGGGCTGCCACTCGGGGCAGATGCTTCTGCCATGTTGCCTGCAGGAGTGCTGGAGGCCTGGCCGTAAACCCCCTGGCTGGGCCTGACCCCACAGGGACTTTTAAGTGATGCAGACATGCAGTACCACACCGAAGTCCATTTAGCAAATGGATGCATATGACGGACACTCCAAATACATCAGAATAGAGGGCACAGTCTTTTTGCCCGGGCAAGGCCTAATTTAGTCTACTGTGGGATGCAGGCACACGAAGTTAGGTGATGTTTCTTGGTGGTGCAGGGGAGCATGTCTCTCTGTGAACAAATCCCTTTCTGCACGGGAAGGTGGTTTCATGAAATGCACCTCCCTGGGGGAAGGGACAGCCATTCATTTTTTCTAAGATCCCTGTCCAAGCCCTGGGAACTTATCCACCCCAAACCCAGCTCCCTGGGTCTACAGGTCAAGCCAGGAAGTAATTCCAGGCTACATTCTCCCTTTGAAGTCAGAAGACTGAACCAAATCAGAAAAGGCAGGTAACCGGTGTGGGCATCACTGGGCCTTAGTCACTGAGAGATGGACTCGTCCAGCGGGGACAAGCGAGTCATAGGAGAGTCAACTGCTTGTTCAGGTGCAATGGCCGACTTCCTCTATCTGAGCAGGAGGAGGGTGGGGAAGATGGTGAAGTGACCACCACTGATCACCGAACCCCCCTCTGCCAGCACTGCACCCCGCGCTTTCCTGCTTTGTGTCATGTAACCTCATCAACCCTTCAGGGGCATTGCGCGGTGACACAGCTGGGACCTGGAAGAACAGACTTGCACTTGGCTTTGGGCCAGACCCTGAGCTTGCACAGTGCAGGGGTTTCTACCTTCTCTGAGTAGCCCTGTGCTGTCGGAGGGATAACTGAGGGTCATGCCGGGCTCTGCGCGTCTCACTCATCGTCACACCAGTGACTTGTAAGGGGAGCAGCCCCAAACCCTTGTCCTTGTGGCTGGGGCAGTGTGTGTGGGGGCTGTCTTCAGTTCTCAGTTGCCCCTTGAGAGCCCCTAGACAACTGGCATGGTTTTACTCCTTACTGTAGGGTCTGCAGTAAATGTCATTGTCCCTTTCCTCTGCTAAACAAATTCAGCCAAGTCATATGATCTTATTACCAGCCTAGCCTCAACCAGTGAATTTCATTCTCATTCCCTCAAAAGTCTGCCTGGTGTTTGCACAATGCCACTTGGGGAGGGGCGAGACTGATTCGCCCCATCGATGGAGCCTGCTCAGAAAAGGGCAGGCGGAGGTCACCTGGGAGGCCAAGTTCAGGGCCTGGGGCTGTGAACACTCAGCCAGGTTCATTGGGCCCCTTTTGAGGGCAGAGTCCTCCGAGATGCTCCAAGACTCAAGCATTCAACAGGAAAAGGCCTCTCATCACACAGAGCCACCTCGTCCCACAGCCGCTCAACCAACAGCTAGAAACCCGCAGCCAGGAGCCAGTTCCCATTCCCACTGCACAAGGGTCTCAAGCATTGCTTTGGCCTACAGACACTGGAGGGTGTGGTGGGGACATCTGCCTGGGGCACGCCCAGGCCCAGGAGGGAACACCAGGGTGCCCCAGCTGACAGTGGGGACTGCGCCCATTTGGCGTGTGGACTGGGCTGAAGGTCTCTTCCTCAAGAGGCCACCGAGCTTAGGTCCGGAGGAAAAATCCCGGCTGGCTGCCCGGGACCCACAGTCCCATTCTGCTAAGGCTCAGCTCCTGCCCAGTACCCCCAGCCCCCCACTTCCTGCTGATTCCGACTAGGTGTGAGCTCGAGAACAAGGCCCTGTGCCGGGCAGCTACGGGGCTGCAGGGACGGCCAGGCCCAGTTCCCGCCGCCTGCAAGCTCACGGTCCACTTAGGGGGAGACAGTGAACGTGCACGGAAGGGGAGCTGCTGCAGAGACAGGGACGCCGGCACCAAGACACCCGCCCCACCATGCCCCGCAGGCCTGACCGCCATCCCTCCACTGTCACGCGGACTGGAACCCATCGCCAAGGAGCCAAGAGCACAGGTTGTGCTTGTAAGCTTCCCCAGAGAAAAGAGACGTTGGGATAAGTCAACATGGAAGAAAGACATCGAAGAAGCGAGGGGTCACCGCCTACCAACAGCCACCCACCCCTGCTCGCAGTCACCTTCCTGTCTCTCTCAACCCTCCACTTGTCCGAGGCTGCAGCAGAGCCCAGACCTGCATGAAAGCTGTGCCAGCACCCAGAGCGGTAGCATGGCTGGCACCAAGCATGCTAGGACAAGAAGGTGGGCTTGGCACAGGACAGACTATCCTCTGCCCTCACGACAATGCAGAAAGGTGGGCAGGGTGGCCAGCCACCCAAACCCTTCTGCCCCCAGCAGGGTGTGCCCCCTTCGCCAGGCAGACCACAGTCCTGGCCCCAGGACCAAACTGGGGCAGGGCACAAGGACACGCGTCTTGTGGGTGCGCCTGGCGGAAGGTCCAGGTACTGACACAACACACCACACTCACGCTAGAAAAAGCTGGCACTTTTTATTAATGGTAGGTGACTAATAAATACATTACGGCAGCCAATAAATTATTACAATAACTAGAGATTTATTAAACCAACGAGTCACTCTACTTACAAAATTACAGTTAATACGGGGTGGCTGGTGGTGGCAGGGTTGGGAGGTAGGGCTACTGCGCCTAAGATAGGTTTGCTAAGGAGGGAGGGGGCACCCAAGTGCACCCCTGCCTGCGATGGGAGACGGGAGTAGAGTGGCGGCAGCAGCAGAACCGGGAGGAGGCCTGGGGGCCAGAGGACATGTGCAGCGGGGGCCCAGCGAGGGGCTGGGGCCAAACCAAGACGGGTAGAGAGAACTGGAGGGGAGGGCCTGGCTGTGCAGGGAGGCGGCAGGAACTGGGGGGCCTTCTTTCTGCTTCTGCCTCGACCTGTCCCTCCCTCGACAGGGGCCTTCGTTTCACTGGGGTGTGGTCTGTCGGAGGCCCGGAGCCCCCTGAGGGAAGGCCCCACTGTGCTTTCTGGGCACAGTGGTTCAGGACTCGCCTCGCTGGGCCACCAGCATGTGGCAGCAGCCCACACCTTGGCCCTGTTCCCTGGTCTGGCTGTTGTGTCCAGTCTCTGCCCTGGGCTTCTGGAACCCTTCACTCTGTAGGCTAGTGGCTCACGTGGGGGAGCTGTCTGGGGCTGCTAGCCTTTAGCTAGCCACAGCTGGAGTCTCAGGCTTCAGTTCCTGAGAACTGCCAGGCGGTGCCTGGAGGCTTCCAGAAGGCTCCGAGATGAGCAGAGGCAGCCCGAGGGGCTGTGAGTGCTAGGCTTCTCAAAAAGGGGGCTGGGCAGGCCGCCTCCTGGTCTGGAGGAGAGACCGAGGCCCAGATTGTGATGGATTTACCTACCAAGAGGGCTGAAGAGGGCACGAGGTCAGACCGAGGGACAGCTGGGGGAGCGGTCAGGAAGGAGGCAGGCGAGAGGAGGGAGAACCTGCAGAAGTTGCCACTGGGCATAAACTGGGACTGTGTTGGGGGGGCCGTGGGGTGCACAAGCTCCCTGGGCAGGTCTCATCTTGGCAGAAAGGGAGGGCTTGGGTGAGACTCCTGCGCCTTCCCTGTTGGGGCCTGTAGGCAGCCTGGTTACAGGGGCTCTGGGTGGGGAGGGCACTTGCCTCGGGGGAGGCTCACTGATGCCCACCGCAGTCGTGTCTCCAGTTCCCACCAGTGGGGTGTGGAGCTGGGCTGGGAGGCAGAGGTGCCTGCTGGCACCAGCTATAGTGGTGGCCCTCTGCCTGGGCGCTGCTGGGGCCAGAGGGAAGGGACAGGGCACTGGGCATGTAGGGCCTCCATGGGAGGTGGCCATGGAACCCAGAATGTCAAAGCTGGGCTCTCTGCTCAGGATGGGGGCAGAGTCCACACCGGCCTCAGGCCCGAGTTCACAGGCACAGCAGAGCCCCTCCTTGGGCCTCGTGTGCTGCCCCCTCCAGTCAGGCTGGAGAGCCTCGGCGGCCTCTCCCAGCTGTGTGTGAAGGCTGAGAGCTGACTCTTGTGGGGGGATGCAGTGCAGGGCACAGAACTTGCCTGCAGGCTCGGGATGGCAAGCACAATTTCCATGGGTTTGGCAAAGGCGTCCCTTCTAGAAATAATTTTCCCCTTGCCCTGCTGAATTAGAGCCAGTCAGAGAGTTACGCATGGCCCCAAGTACAGGGCCACTGTGGTGAAGAGACCCACCCATTTCTGGTCACTCGCAACATCTCCCCCTCACACCCACACCCACGACGGAGCCAAAACTCATCTGTCACCCCAAGTCATTCCCATGGTGGAGCTGCTGGTGACGACATGGACGGGCGACGCAGTAGACAGCGAAGGAGTTATACCCTGGATACCCTCTCCTCAAGGGATTACACCAGACAGCCAAGGACCCCCTCAACATGCCGGGGCGGCACTGAGCAGGGAAGAGTGTCTGAGGGAGAAAAGGCAGCCCAGGGGACACATGGGCAGGAAGGCCCCAGGCACCCTGCTCCCCCAGCCTCCCAAGGCTGCAGCTGGGAAGGGCGGGGGCCTGACTCCTGCCCGGTGCGCGGGCCGCTGTGGGCACTAGAAAGCCCTGGGCCTGGACGACGGCCTCAGAGGTGGGGCTTGGCCAGCATCCCCTGCTTCTTGTCGGCTGTCTCTGAGTCTGGAGTCACAGGGCAGAGCTGGGGGCACAGCTGGCCACACCCAGGGTGGTGATATCAGGAAATAACTGCTATGTCTTCAATGTTGGGCAAATGCTTAACTGGCCCTGTCTTCCCATGACAGGACATTGGGGCTGGTGGCTCCAACGGCCACAACCCAGCAACTGGCACAAGGTGCAGCGCACACGGTGAATGAAACCAAGTGGCCTCGGGCTGGCCCCGGCTCCGACAGCCTGGCTGCCTGTGATTTCCCGTAAGGATGAGGCAGCAGCACGGGAGCCAGACCAGGGAAGGCTCCCCCAGTGGCACTCGCCCCTGTAGGCATTTGGCACTAGGGACGGTGCCCTGGGTCTCCCGTGCACCACCCAGAGCTCTGGGCCTGTTGGAGCCAGGAAGCCCAGAGCTGTTGGCATGGTGGGGTTCTTCCTGGCTCCGGGGCAGTCGGGAGGCAGGGAGTCCAGGGGTCTTGCCTGGCCCTGGGGCTGAGCGGAGCTTGGAGTGGAGGTTGGAAGAGCAGAGGGGGCCAGAGAGCTCTCAAGGGGCAGCCCCTCTCCTCCCATGGGCACACCTGGCTCCCTAGGCAGAGCCTGCCACACAAGCGCCCAGGGTCTGCCTGTGGTGGTGGCATCAGCCAACTGGAGGTGCCTAAGAGCGAGAGAGAGGGGTGCTGGCTGCCCGAGGCCAGCCTGGGCCTGGGCCGCCAGAAGTTACCCCACCCCTTTCTGCTCAGGAATCTCGGCAACAAAACCCCTTCAAGGGGTCCTAGGACTCTTTCCAGAGGGTGGCGGGGGGCCTGGTATGTGGCCCCTGGTAAGTGCATACTTCAGAGTGGTGGTCCTATCCATCTGCCCTCCTCTGTCCCCGAGGGCTGGCACGACACCAAGGGCTGTGGACAAACTCTCTGGTTTTTTAACTGAGAAAAAAGGAAGCTGGGGTGTTAGCCTCAGGAGCTGTGTCCACAGCCCCCTTGAGCCTCCCCAACTGCAGAACCCATCCCCAGCCCAAAGGCCCGCCTGCCCCTGTAATTTGAGTTGGAGTTACTGCGATTTGAGAAGGAGACGCATGTCTGCTCATATCTGGAGCAGCTGCCTGCCACCTGGGTGATGGGAGCAGGTACACGGCTCACGCCTGGGCCTGCAAAGACTGGGGGTGAGGCCCCACGGCAGCCAGCGCGGGCGCTCCTCTCCCTCAGCACCCTCCCCCACTGCCTCCCGCGTCTCCCTTGACCTGTCCAGGCACCACGGGACTCGAGCCCTCCCACCATCGACCACATGCCTTTGCAATACGTCAGTTTCAGAATCAGTTACAGACCTGTAAGGCGTCATGAATATGGGTTCCCCAGAAGGACCATGGGGAGCCCCAAGGGGGTGCAGGGAAGGATAGCTCAGAGAAGGGCTTGCACCAGGGGGCTGAGATCCAAGGGGAGGCAGGAAGGAGGCATTTGCCGAGGCCTGAGCCCTCGGTCCCACACGCAGTCGGCCTGGTCCCACCCTGCCTTTCGGTGACGGAGCTGCCCCCGACCAGAGAGAACCCAGGAAAAGCTGAGCAGTGTCTGCCACTGCCCCTACCCCTGCCAGGACCCTGTCCCAAGGCCACCCCCACCACCTAAACCCCAGAAGACAGGAGAAGACGCTGGGACTTCGAGTATGAGTCACCAAGCGTAGGACGTGCCCGTTCTGGGCCAAACGGCAGCCTTGGCCCCCACACGCCTCTCCCTGGGGTGAAACACTCAGAGACGGAGCAGAGGCCAGCGCGTGGCAGGCAGGCAGGCAGCGAGTGGCCCATCTCAGGCGGGGTGCAGCTACTCGGCACCCAGCCCAGCCCGTGTCACCACACGCTCTGATGTCTTGGGGGCGGGGCGGCTGTGGGGGATTTCCCTCCTGCCCCCTTGGTGCCAGCCGCTGTGCTTCTTTGTCAAGTGCAGAGAGTGGTCTGAGAGGTGCTGGAGCTCTGGTTCCAGGGGGTGGGGGGCAGGAGGCCGGGCAGGGTGGCGGGCAGCTGGGGGCGAGGCCGGGACTCAGTAAAGGCCACAGCCCCGCAGGTTTTTGGCGATGATGACGTCCGTCACAGCATCAAAGACAAACTGGATGTTGTTGGTGTCGGTGGCGCAGGTGACATGGGTATAGACCTCCTTGTGAGCCGACTTGTTCTTGCTTTCGTACTGGGCCTGGATGTACGCCACGGCTTCCGTGAAGGTGCTGGGGCCTGCGGGAAAGACCGGGAGGGCAACGGGTGAGGTGAGGCCACAACTGAGGACAACCCTGGAGGAGACATCTGACGGGCACGGGGAACTTGACAGCTCTGCTAAGTCCACAGCGAGTCATGAAGTCAAGTCAGTCGTCCACATCCAGTTTAAAAATAATGGCGAAAGCAAACTAGCAAAGCTCACCGTCCCTCACCTGTGTTACGGGCGAGCCCTGTTTCATGAGGCTCCTGTTCTTTTATATAACGCACCTGACTCCCCACGCAGGTGGTCTTTCTTACTGTGAGTCCGGCTCAAGGCGGTCTGAACCAGCCCCTGGCTGACCCACGCCCTGCAGGCAGGTCCTCTCCTGTCTGTGATTCCTCAGAGCACGCCTAGATGTCACCTCCCTTGGCCGCTGCCGGGCAAGGTGGGCAGGAACTGTGTGGTGCCTGTGGGCCACCCTGGCCTCCTTCTCTTCCTCTCACCCCTCCTTCTCTCAGGCTCACCATCCAGGGACCAGGCACTGTCAGGCGCGTTGACATGTGGCCTCCCTTGGGGTGTCAGAGGGTTTCCAGGAGAGCAGCTGCTGTTTGGGGAGGAGCAGTACAGGACCCCCAGCTTTGCACGGAAGCCACCACAGGCTCCGAACTGGGGCCCAGGCCCAGGCAGGGCTGCCACGACCCGCTGTGAAAGGGAGGGGGGCTGGATTTTGGAGCCACAGCGCTAAGCTGGGGTGGCTGCTCTGCAGACTGGAAGTCTGGGAATGGTGTGCCTGGAGGGGGTGCCAGCCCCCAGGGATATGGGCACAGGCCACCAGGCCTGGCCTTGGGGCTCTGCCAGTTCGTAGCTCTTTCCTAACTTTGGGCTGGAGGTGAGGGATGGGACCTACCGGCAATCCCTGAGGCCTCTGAGCCCCAAACCAACCTTGGTGGCTGACCCGTCCTGCCTGCTTCTGACACAGGCCACCATCCAGGTCAACTAGGGACCCCCAACTTACAGCTAAGAGGAGGCTGGCTGGTGGGTGTGAGGGCTGCCGAGCCCCGCCCCCCACCGCTGGCTGCACATTGCTGGGGGCCTGGCCTACCCGGCAGTTGGCGTGATCTTGAGAAAGGGGAAGATAGAGTGAGCTGTCTGGCCGCAAGTCATGGCCTCCATGTCCACTTTCAGGGAAGTAGGGTCAGGCTGGGGGCTCCCCCAGCAGGTTTGCCTTGTTGGGGCTCTGCTGCTCTTGTGCTCTCCAGGCCGGGGGCTGGTCAGTTTGGGGATGCCCACTCACCTCTGACCAGGCCCTGGCCACCTGGAAGAGTCGATGGGCACTTGGGCTGCTCCAGCCACCCTCACTGCTCCATGGGGGGGCCTGGCCAGGCTGCCTCCTCTGACCGCCCAGCCGCCTCACAATTAGGTAGTAACGGTGACAGAGGTGGCCTTTAGTTTTGTGTTGGATTCTATGTGGTTGAGTCCTGAGCATCCGCAGAGGACAGGCCAGGGGGATTGGGCTTCAGAAAGGGGGGCCTGCTCCCTCAGGGAGTCTGCTGGCCAGGGGCGCAGTGCAGGCCCCTGCTGTCCCCGCAGGGGGGCGGGGAGTCTCTACCTGTGTATTCGGGAAAGCAGATGGTCAGCGGGGACTTCTTGATCTTCTCCTCAAAAATGTCCTTCTTGTTGAGGAACAGGATGACGGACGTGTCCGTGAACCACTTGTTGTTGCAGATGCTGTCAAATAGCTTCAGGGACTCGTGCATGCGGTTCTGCAACAGAGTGGGGGGCAGGTGAGGCCAGCGGTGCCCAGGGCCCTGACCCACCGCGGCCACCACGCAGCAGGGCAAGCCGAGGAAAGGCCCACCCACGCAGCCGAACGCACCATGGACGGACGGGGACGGGGGGACCCACAAGGACAGACGTGACGTGGTTCCTGCTTCATTCAATACGCAGGCAGGGTGGGGCGGAGCAGGGCGGACAGGGCGAGGAATGTTGCCCCCAGCCTCCCACCCCCCCAGAGAGGGCTGACCCGGGATGGGGACAGCGAGGTCACTGGAGGGACTCCAACTGACGGAGAGGACATGCACCATGCACTCAGGGCAGGGGCTGCACCACCATTCAACACGGCTACACGGAACCGAGGGCCATGCAGATTTCTCCACCAGGGTCTCATTTGGATTCGCCAGCAGGGGTGGGAGGCACGCATTCAGCTGGGGAACATTAACCGAGGACTAGGAGGTCCTCGAATTAATCCAGAGTTGGAAGCAGACACCAGGGGGGACAGCATCTGGGGGGTGATCTTGCTGTGGCCTTGCTGTGGTTGGGGATTGCATTGGTTGGCTGGGCCATGGCTGGGCGGGGGCAGCTCTGGGTGAGCTGCCCATTGGGGCTGGTTTTTTTGGGAGAGGGTCCAGAAGAACCCCAAGAAGAAACCCGGCAAAACAGGTTAAAACAGAGAGGAAGATAAAAACCCAGCAGAAACATGAGAGAGAGAGAACCCCCCCCCAAAAAAAATTGGTTCAACCAGTCTCGGGGCCAGAAAGTCAACCAAGGCCAGTCCACCCTGAGGCCTCTGCGCAGTCTCAGAGGCAACCGTGGGCTGCGTGGCTGGAGATGGAAGGCGGGGGTGGAGAGGACCAGCCTAAGCCAGGCGGCCGGTGAGGGGTGTGAGGCGGAGTGGGCGGGGCCAGGCATCACAGCAAAGTCACCCGGTGCCCCGAGCACCTGCTGCTTTCAACTCTTAGCTGACGGTTTCAGTTGGAGGGAGGTGCTTCATACCTGCCCGGCTTGGAGGGTCTCTCAGAATCTGCTCATGGTTTTGGCCTTGGTTTGGCAAATTAAGGCCCTGTAGGCGGTGGTGACGTAGTGGTGGTGGAGAAGTTGTGGCAGGCTGAGGCCCAGCGTCGCTGGAGCCCCCAGCCTGAGGTACGAGAACTGGATGAGGCCCTGGGGTCCCTAGTTGCGGTGGACAGGGTGGCTGGCTGGTTGGCAGGCAGCCACCAGCCCCAGGGCCCATGGCCGAGCTCCAGGAGCCATCTCAAGACACATGTGTCTTGGGCAGCCCCAACTCACGCCCTAGGCCCTGGAGGACACCCAGGGCTGACCAGAGAGGAAGGCCGAGGACCAAGGACTGGTCAGCAGGGCCTAGCTTTTGCTCCCAGGGGCAGAGTGTCTGTAGCCCACAGCTTGTCCTTCAGCCATGAGCCTGGACAGGGGAGCCCGACAACTGCCATTTATCGAGTGGGGTCCCAAGTGCAGGCACTCTGACGACTCTGAACTCTGCGCTCTTCACAGCTGCCTACGAGGCTGCGCTCCCACAAACATTGCTATTTTAAGGACAAGGAGGTGGCGCGGCTGCCACATTCATGCAGCGGCAGGGCCCGTGCTGGACCCTGGGCCAGGTCTATCTGGCCCCCCAGCTGCCCAGCTGCCATATGTCCCAGACACACAGTCGTTGGCTTAGCTCTGCAGCAATGGTGATGCTCTTACTGCTGCCAGCAAGGACCCACCTTCGTGGGCTGCTGTCTAGTTGTCAAGTCCGTTCCTGTCCCCGGAAGGCGTGGCCGCTCTTTCCTGGGCCACATAGCTGGTCCGCCTTGGGGAGGACAGGGCCCCAGGGAGAGCCCGTTCCTGGCCTGGGCCTCTGTGCCTTAGCCTTCCCAAGGTCCTCTGCTCCAGCCCATGTGAACCGGGGAGAAGTGCGGAGGTGAGAGAAAGGGCAGGAGAGGAACGCAGAAGGCAGGAAGGCGGAGGAGAACGGAGGGAAAGTGCCGTAGGTCGTGGGCCCTGCTCAGCGGCAAAGGCCGGTGAGGAGTTCACAGGGGGCTGGCCGGGCTGGACAGGGCGCGGGCGGGCAGAGTGGAAGGCTGTCCGAGTGCGAGGCCTGGCACCGGCCCAGCCCCATGTTAAATGGGGACTCGAGAGCCATGCAGCTTGGGCCCCGAGGCTGCCAGCTGCACCGACACCCCTGTGCTTCCGCCCTGGGCTCCAGAGGTGAGTGAGAGCCCTTGCCCCATGGTTGACGGGCCTGGGACTTGGGTTTGAGCTGTCTGCAGGCCTGGCAAGGCAGGTCCCAGGGGAGAGGCCTGTTCCCTTTGACACCCATGGCTGGGTCAGCGTTGCACTCACTGCGTCAGCTCCGCTCCCCACTCCCCGGTGTTTCGAGGAGAGAGGAGCCCACAGGAGCTCAGACCACAAGGGTGGCCAATCAGACCGTGAGCAACGCCTCGAAAAGCCGTCGACCAATGGAACAGTGACAGACGTGCCAGGGCAGCCCCTGTGCGCGGAGGCGTTGTGGGGGTGGCCAGGGGCCGACCTGGGCTTTGTGGTCAGTGAGTCGGGTCCAAGCACAGCCCTGGGCGTGTGTCTACCCCCGGCCCACCCTCAGCTCTGGTGATCTTAGATGCCACAAGCTCGAGGCCACTGAGAATGATGACAGTGTTACCAGAAGGAGCTGTACAGCCGAGGCCCTAGGAGCCTCCTTCAGGACAAGGCACAGCTTGGGGGGCTTTGCTGACCCCCAAGTCAGGGGTGCAGCTGGGCTTGAAAGGGGGAGGGCAAGATGGACAAACCAGCATGTGGCTCGAGTCTGGACCACCCCCCCCACCAGCAGCGGCTTCAGCTCCAGTCTCATCAAAGCCCCATCACTGCGTTGGTGCCCCAGGACGGCGGCTCCTCCCCACCATAGCACGTGTACCCCACAGCCCACACCCCGCAGCGCATCGGATCTTCATAGCAGCCTTTGGGACCAACAGGCAGAATTGATGAGGAAACAGACCCAGAGAGGACACAGGCCTTGCCCGAGGCCCACAGTGACCACAGGCCAGCTCCAAACCCCAGTGCTGAGTCCGAGAGACTTGCGGCCAAAGGTCTAAGAGTGCGGCAGACAGAGGAGCTGACGGATGCCAAGGGCGGTACCTCACAGCCCGGGAGCCCCACTCCAGCAGGTGCTGTGGGTTTGTCTCCAGCCACCCTGCGGGTGCCCCACACCAACCCCTGGCTTCCCTGGCAGGCTCTGGCCTGTGGGCTGCAGCCCAGACGGGGACTCTCAGTGGACCCCCCAGCTCAGGACAATCACCAGTCGGCACTGCTGTGCCAGAAACGGTTCCAATTCCTTCCCGCAGATTCTCTCATCCACCACCGATGGCCCCACGGATAGGTCCTACTGTCATCCCCGCTTCAATAGATAACAGTAACTGAATTCAGCAGCAGACCAGGACGAGGCCCAGAGAGACGCAGCACACTTGCCCCGCGAGTGCCCCCTCACCCCAGGCCAGGCTGGCCCTTTTTCTCCGAGGTCACAGACTAAATGCCACACGTCGTCAGAGGCGGGAGCTACGCTGGCCTCCTGTGGAGGTGCCCCAGCCCGCTGGCCACAGGCCCCAGTCGCCTCTCCTGCCAGCAGCCCGCCCGCACTCAGGGACGGCTGTCAGGGCTAAGAACCGCTCTTGCTGTCTTATGCTCACTCTTGCTTGACTGCACCCTGGGTTCTCCTAGGACTGGCTGAGTTCAGTTCCAGCCTGGTGGCCTCTGTGACTCTGCCGTGTTTACTGAAGAGGCACTTACTGCCCGAGACCCCAGATCTGCGGAGATGCGCATGATCAGTCTGTATGATCTGCACTGGCGTCACCAGGCGTTCGCCCAACGGCAGAACTCTCAGCCACCACAGGGCCGCGTGGGCCACTGAGGCTGATGGCAGCCAGTCCTCCCACTTCCCCCTGCAGGCCTGGAGGGCTCAGGCCACTCACCGTGGTCTCGTCTTCGTGGAGCACCTGGTCATAGCCGCTGAGCGCGACGCAGAAGATGATGGCCGTGACGTCCTCGAAGCAGTGGATCCACTTCTTGCGTTCAGATCGCTGGCCCCCGACGTCAAACAGCCTGCCAGGGAGACAGGGAAGCTGGGGTGGAGGCGGTGGGGCCCAGGCAAGTGAAGGGGTGCCTGGTCAAGCCGAGGGGCGGGAGGGGGTACCTGCATCCCGGAGCCCCGCTTCAGGCGCTGACAGACTGACACTGCCATCCTCGGGGTGGGAGCAGCTATCACTGCTTACTGTCCCCTGACTGGCTGTGTTTACATGTAGTGACTCAAAGACCTGTCCTCAAATCTCAAGAATTTTACTAAGGGGTGAACCTCAGGTAGCCCCCAAGAAACACGTCTGCGGGGTCCTCCTGTCAGCGCAACATGCACACCCTGTTCCAGGCTCTCTGAGGGCATCTGTTCATGTCTGTGCTTTGGGAAACGTCCCAACCAGCCTGGGAGCGAGGCAGGCAGGGACTGTCACCTGTCCTGTGGAGGAAAAGGGAGGCACCTAGGGGTTAGGTGCCCAGGGTGCTGGCGAGAGCCAGTGTGCAGGGCTGGGGTCTGACCCAGGTCTGTTGACAGATAAAGCCTCTGACCCGTCCTGTGCCACCTCTGCCGGGCAGATGGGTGCCGGCCTCTCCTCCTCTCAGACCCTCCCTCAGGGGGCATGAAGGCTGTGGGAAGGGACTGGGCAGGTGGGGCCGTGCCCTGGAAGAGGTCAGTCTCACACTCTGCAGCCTCCTTGGCCTGGGAAGCCTGTGGGCACACAGCTGCGGGGGGCTGGGCCCTGACCCTGCGTGCATAGGGATGCCAGCCCCTCCAGACCGAGGACTGCAAGGAAACAGGTCTGGTTCGTGTCTGTCACCACGTCCCTCAGATCCTGCTCCCTGCTTTGAAATACAGGGTGCTGGCTGATGGCCTCTGCGGCCCTCCAGGGTGCTTATTCTCAAATTGCCTGCTAGGCAGCGCTGAGCCCCGGTCCCCACCCTGTGCATTTGCGGGGTGAGTGGGAAAGACTGAGGAGACTGGAAGGTGAGAGGCACCTTGTGGGGTCACTTAGCCCATGGCTGGCTCCCCAGGTTCAGGGGAGGCCTAGAGGCACCTGTACCCAGCACAGCTCTCATGGTCCTGCGGAGAGGCTGCCCACGGGCCCCGGGACCAGGAGACAGGCCCTCAGCTCTAGTCTGTATAGGAATGGGCTGGGGCTCGGGAGCGGGCGGCAAGTGATCTGGAATCCAGCCCTCCCAGGCAGGCCCTTACACCTGTCTGTCCCTGCAGTCCCTGCCCTCCTGGCCTCTCTTCCTGCTCCACTAGACACCCAGCAACCACACCTAGAAGGCAGGTGGGGGCAGAACATGGGCTCCTGGCCTCGGTGCATGGAGGTCGCCCCAGGTGGAGACACTGCCCTCCAGCAGGGCCTGAGAAGTTCAGCTGCAACCTCAGTGCCCTGCTCGGTGGTGCTCAGAGCACCTGGGCTCAGGTTAGGTTCTGTGCTTGGGGATGGCCTTGCTCCTCCCAGGCCTCAGTTTCCACATTTGCACCAGGACAGGATGGGTCAGCTGATCTGTAAGCCCCTTCCAGCTCTGAGATTATGTGGGTCCTTGGGGTCTCACAGATATTGTTTGGGTTTGTCCACCCTCATTCCTACCCCTCCCCACAAGGTGGCCTTCAAGGTGATGCACCCTTCTCCTCCTCAGATGTCACCCAAGGACAGGCTCCCTTCCTTTGTCCAGTTAACCCCTCCACATTCCTCAGAGCCCCACTCTAGGACCCCTCTTCCAGGAAGCCTCCCTGCTCACCCCAGCCCTCAACTTGATGGAAAATGGACCTATAGACAGGTCCCTTCTTGAATCTAACTGTCCCCACACGAAAGCTCCCAAGGCAGGGTGATAGCTGGGTGCTCCAGACGAGCTGAGGCTGAGAGACTGGGTCTCGGGAGTCCCATGGGCCTCACCTGAAATGGAGGTTCTTGAATGTGAAGTGGGTTTCTACGATGCCGGTAGTTTTGACCCTGGTTCGGAGGATGTCCTGCTCAGTGGGCTGGTAGTCGGTGGCTCCGATCCGATCCAGGCTGTCCAGGTAGCTGGGGATAGCAACACATAGGGGACCATGGACCAAGCTCTGGGCACTGTCCTGTGTTTGCTGAGCCACCCCCATTCAGAGCCAAGTCCCCACCAGGGATCCCTGCAGGCCACTGTGGAAACGACGGCACCACCTTGTCCAGAGCCAGGTGGGGTCGCGGGTGGGGGTGGCGATCGAGGAGGAAGGGACCGAATGTCCTGGTCACACATTCTCAAAGAGCCTCTAATTCAGACCACAAGGGGCTGTGCACACAGCTCCAGGCACACCAGACAAGATCACACTTTTCAATGAGAGGAACACGTTTAAAATGCTGTTTTGTCATTTCCTCATCTTGAAATAATAACGGCGAGCAGTTGGGCTCTGTTCTTCATAGGTGTTGTCATATTTCTGAGTTAAATGTACAATTCTACAGGCTAGAAGGCAGGGTCAATGAAGGTCAGTGCCTTGCTCAACTGTGAGCCGGGGCTTGAACCAGGACATCTGGCCCCAGAGTTCCCGCTCTGACCAGTTTGAGAGGTGCCTCCGAGGGGTCCCCCCCCCGAAGCCCCCCTGCCCTTTCCACACGTCCTGAGAGTTTCCCCAGGGATCGGTAAGCCTCTCCCCATTTGATGCTCTTGGAAGGGAGGGTCAGAGGTCACAGCCGGCCTCAGGGCTCTCTTCCCATGCCACCACTTCTGGAAGCAGACCCAGGCCAAGCACCGAACGGGCTTTGGGGTCTGCATGGGTTAGGTTTGAACCCAAAGCCAGGGTGGAAGCTGGGAAATCAGGAAGGAGGGAGCTGAGCCAGACCTGCAGGCCGTTCAGTGATCTACAGTGACCCCCAGGCCCCGAGTCTTCAAGCCTGGGGGTAGGGAGCCACACACAGCCACAGGGGAAGCGCCCTGAGTGTGCAAGACACAGGTCGATGAGGGGTCCCAGGCTGCATGTGGAAGGGCTGCACGTTATCAGCACTTGGCCCTGGGATCTGCTGGAGACCCGATGCCCTGGGGCTGGGAAGGGCAAACGCCTTCCCCATTGAGGGGCCCACTGGTGAACCAATGCCGTAGGCCTGCCTCAAGTCCTTGTGAGAATCTGCCCAGCTGAGGGGCCCGTGGGCACGCAGAGGCCTGGAGTGGAGGAGGAGCCTGGGATACAGGCCTGGCGGGCCGGGAGTGGTGAAGTGGGAAGCAGGTTTGGCGGGGAGCAGGTAGCAGGTGAGTCCGGAAGGGGGTGACAGTGGTGGGTGCGGCACAGCACGTAGGCCTGGAAGGGCACTGTGAGGACTTGGGGTTTTACTCTGAGTGAGATGGGAGGAGAGTGTGGAAACAACGGCTGTAAGCAGAGCAGGCGGGGAGGGTCGGGGGAGGCCTGTGAAAACGTTGCAGCCATCCAGGTGAGGTGATGGCAGCTCTCCCCACAGTGGCAGCTGTACAGGGCACGAGAAGTGGGGTGCGGCAGGAAGAGCCAGCGAAAGCCGCCTCCACGGGTTGAATGGAGCGCGCTTGTGGGGGGAGGAGTGGAGGCTGAGCAGGCTTGCGGGGAGGGTGGGGGCAGGAATGCAGCGGGCACGTGTTAACTTGAGATGTGTGGACATGTTCACATGGATACTCACTAGGCAGGACTCAGGAGGGAAGGCTGGGCTGGCGATATTACTTTGAGAGTTTTCTAGGTATACGAGGAATTGGAAGCAATGAGGCTGGACCACCCAGGCATGAGATGGCCATGGAGGGGAAGAGGTTCATG